TATCTCTCTCATCCATCTGTCCATTTAAACCGGGCTGTTGAGACGAGTCGTTCCAGCTTCCTGTCGCCTGCGGTGATGTCCTGATGTTCACCAAGAGAGGCAACAGGCGTGACTGGGCCATGCAGTGTGACGACCACAGATAACAGAAACACACACACACACACACACACACACACACAGGTTTGTTTTTGTGAAAAGTGGGGACATCCCATAGGCGTAATGGTTTTTATGCTGTACAGACCGTATATTCTATTGCCCTACACCAACCCTACCCCTAAACCTACCCCTCACAGGAGACTTTCTGCTATTTCAGATTTTCAATACACTCCATTCTGTGTGATTTATAAGCGTTTTGAAAAGTGGGGACATGGGGTAATGTCCTGAAAAGTCACCTTGTAATATCTATGTCATACCTTTGTCATTATACAAATTTATGTCCTCATTTGTCACAAAAACGCACGCGCGCGCACACACACACACACATTCCTGCAGTCTATCGAACAGACGTGTTAGAGGGTTTAGTGAAAGGACACAGAGATTGATGCATTTTATTGAGCCTTTCTATATCCTGGACATGGAATGTATCAGAATGTATACTGCATCATATACTACTTTTTTTTTAAAGAGAAGCCATTATTTCTATTATAACAATATACAGTATACAAATTAGAACAAAAACTGTGTGATAAGAGGTATGCAAGTACTCCATTGTGAACACAGCCATGAAGCTGCAGAACAGAAGACAATCCCTGTCTTTGACCTGCTATTCCCTGTTATCAGCACAGGCTGACGCTGTTCTACCCTATAATGAAGTTACAGGCTTTACAAATATTCAGACCATGTTGTTCTCAAATAGTATGACAAAGGGCGTGATGAATCACAACGTCTGCTCTAAGCTCTTGTCCAGCAAAGAATGAACATCACAAGCCTGCACAGCCTCACCCCAAACACAGACCAGGAGGATTTAGGATCACGTCCAACTAGAACAGGTGTTTTCCTACAGACTTACTCAAACACACACATACACTCTATGCTTTGTCTATCCTCCTGATGATATATATGTGTGTGTGTGTGTTTTTTTTTTTATTTATATATATATATATATTTTATTTAAATACAATTATTTATGTAACTTACATAGTTATTTTATTTGTCATATGTGAAGAAATGCTGTTATTTTAGTTTTTAAGCTCTTTTCCATACAGCCACGGTTCACAGTTCACATGACTGTCAAGCCCCAAAAAGGGGAAAAACACAATAACAGCACCATGAATGTGATCTGAATGATATAAGCATTAAAAAAAAAAGCATGGGTTTGGAGCAACATAATGAATAATAATGAAACAGTGCTTTAAATTGTTACTTATATAAAGCAAATGATTTCATCAGATCATCTGAATGTCACTAATTGTGTTTTTTTTTGCAGCTCTACCCTGATATTTTCTTCGGTTTTAATTGGTCAAATTAATGAGAAAGTCCCTTAGAATGGCAACACCCAGAAAAGCCATTTTTTTCTGAATCCCAGCTGAGCTCTCCTCCTTTCTGTTGGTCTCTCCCTCTATCTCTCTCATCCATCTGTCCATTTAAACCGGGCTGTTGAGACGAGTCGTTCCAGCTTCCTGTCGCCTGCGGTGATGTCCTGATGTTCACCAAGAGAGGCAACAGGCGTGACTGGGCCATGCAGTGTGACGACCACAGATAACAGAAACACACACACACACACACACACACACACACAGGTTTGTTTTTGTGAAAAGTGGGGACATCCCATAGGCGTAATGGTTTTTATGCTGTACAGACCGTATATTCTATTGCCCTACACCAACCCTACCCCTAAACCTACCCCTCACAGGAGACTTTCTGCTATTTCAGATTTTCAATACACTCCATTCTGTGTGATTTATAAGCGTTTTGAAAAGTGGGGACATGGGGTAATGTCCTGAAAAGTCACCTTGTAATATCTATGTCATACCTTTGTCATTATACAAATTTATGTCCTCATTTGTCACAAAAACGCACGCGCGCGCACACACACACACACATTCCTGCAGTCTATCGAACAGACGTGTTAGAGGGTTTAGTGAAAGGACACAGAGATTGATGCATTTTATTGATCCCCTAATAGAAATCCAGGTGTAATGAAACAAGCTGAGGATGATACTAGAAAATGGTTTCAGTCCATTGAGTTACAGGATCATGTCCACTGCTTAAAATGCTAAAAATGATGTGATGATAAAGTCACAAAGTCACACTACTTAAAGTCAACATGACATTGAAATGTATTTTCTTAATGCATTTCCTTTTATTGTTTTGTTCAAT